ATAATGGTTGCAAACAGTGCAAGCCCTTATTGGTAGTGTCAACCAAAACGTGGGATGAGCAAGGAGGAAACTTATGGTATTTATAGGGTCGCTCTTTCAGCCGACTCACGATGAACGCTTTCAGACTTCTGTACGCTTTCCACGTCAAACCGAGACTTCAGTATAGTAGTGCGGCGACATAATCCTGCACGGCTAGTGAACTGGCTAAGTTGGAGCGTGTACAAAGTGCCGCCACTGGACTCGTTGTTGGACTACACGGGACCAGCTATGAAGGTCGTGTGCAGACTACTGGTCTGTTCCCAGTTGCGTATCGGTACCTCCGGGGAGATCTGATCTGATCGGTCTGAGGAAGATCCTGAGAGGTGATATGGGCCCAGAGTTGCAACAGCACTTCAGGTTACGGATAGAGGCAAGCACGCACGCACTGTTTCACGTTCCGGAAACTTCAGTCAGTTGGTCTTCCGTTAGTCTACCGACTCTCGCGGAGGTCAACAACGCTCTGGAACTGTGGTGGAGGAGAAGACCAACACTGCTTTCAAACGGCGTTTGCATGAGAACCTCAAGAGGCCATGATCGAACCTTCGACCCAGTGGTGATGGAGCTTACACGGGTATCCTGCCCTCTGCCCTCATTTCTGAAGATTGAAGACTGATCACTGTCTAAGTATAGACATTTGTCCGGAATGGGGGTTAGACGGGTGACAATAGAGGAAATGTACAAATCAGGCCACCGTACTCTGATCGTCACTTTGACGCCCATGCATCCAGCAGTATCACTGAGAAAATACCGGTACATGCACACGGTGGTGACTGGTCTCAATCCATTTCGGATGCATACCGTGAACATTCTCAGGAGAGATTAGGCTTCCCCTGACATTTCCCCGTTTGAAATGTGCGTCTGCACTTTTGGGTTGACCTGCGGTTTTGTGGTTTGCGTACGTTTCAGCCCATACACCACTTGGCGGTGATGATGACCTCGGCAGACCGAAGGTTTCCAATACCATGTCGAAGCATAGTAGTGGACCTTGAATCCTTTCTTCGTGGCATTTTGTTGGCCTTAAATGATGTGCGTGACGCAAACAGACTTTGGACTGCTCTTGTATCTCGTACAGTACGGCTCCTCGTGTTCGAAGAATTCTGCCGGTCACCCAGTGAGTACGGTCACTACCGTAACGTCTTACAAACACTGAGTGACCTGGGGGCGAAGGAACATTGCAAGGCTCCGTGGCGTCGATTGCCTCGCTCTTCCATATTCCAGTTCCTTTCAATGCGTGGGCGGATGCAACAGATCAAATGGCATTCCTAACTCCCCTCCCCCCCTTTTTTTCTTTGATTTCAGGAGTGCCCGCTTGAAGTTACCCGCAAATCGCTCCGCTTGGCCGTTCAGTTGTGGATGAAAAGACGAGCAGCGGATGTGGTTTTTTCTGTTTTACTTGCATAATTCCTTAAATTGTCGTGATGTGAACTGGCGCCGTTGTCGCTGACTGGCGTTCTCGGGACAACAAAACGACCGAAGAGTGGATGGAAATTTGTGATTGTTGAGGTTGACGTAAGGAAAATCTCGAGCCATTTGCTGAGTGCATCACTGGCGACAAGGTAAGAACGAACGTTGACTGGTCCTGACAGACCCTGGTCGCGTATTCATGTTGACTTTGTCGGACCAACAAAGCTGTTCCTTGACCTGATTTGGCTATTTGATGTGATTAGTACCTAGTTACTCTACTAGTGCCCAGAATGTCTGTAGCAAACAACTTTTAAATTGTGGCCTACGTATTACTGAAAGCGAAAGCACGCGCTTGCGCGAGTGAGGGTGTGCTTGGCTGATGACATCCTACTTCCTCTCCAAACCTAGCCCGACTGGTTCACACACACACACACACACACACACACACACACACACACA